TATATATATATAAAACGTTTGTGGTAAATTTGAGAAACTTTAATATACGTAGATGTGATTTTGCATGATTTTTCTAGAGGGAGCCCTTTTTTACTCTTTGACTTTTATTTTTTTTTTACAAAACTCTCCACTTATACAACGAGGAGGGAGGGGGCAGCAGAATCTGGAATCGTTTTGCTCTCTTTTACACAGATGCTTGCAAGAAGTTTTGTCCTTTAACACACAAACACACACTCACACACATTCAAAGAATGGTCTCTTTGGCTCCCCAGGTACTCTGTGGCTTCAATGCCTGCAGGCACACACACACATACACACACACACTGTGGATCCACTTTCCAGAGTCAGGCTGAAACACAGACTGAGGAAGAGAAAAAGCTCAACCAGGTTAATTAAAAGTCTTATTCATTAAATAACATGGATCACAGCAGKTAAAATTCACCTGATGGTTCATTTTATTTGGTCAAGTCAGACTTTTTTTGTGTTCTTTGTGCATCTTTGTAAAACTCTTTTCCCCTGAATGATGTGTGTTTAACTTTAACTTTGGGCTGCAGGAAGGGGAAATAAAGTGTGTAGATTATAGAGGAGGTCTGGCATTGGGGTTGTGGGCAGTGTTTGAAAAGGAGGAATGTATAAGACAGTGGGCAAACATCACTGGTAGCTTTAAAACACACACACTCATACACACACACAGAGTCCCGCACTGCTCCCAAGGGCTTCATTGAGGATTTAACAGCCTGTCTCTGCTCGGTGGCTGCTGATCAAACAGGTAAGTGTCAGTTTGCTGTCTGTTTTTATTGTCTGCCCCACTTAGTGCACGAGAGGCAGAGCTGCAATTGATCTCAACTACAAAACGTGTGCACGTTTTATGACAGTACGGCTCTTGGCAGCGTCGCCAGCATGTGCTTCACTGCAACTGAAGGCATCAAAAGCAACCGAACACAAACACGTTCATCAGGCTAAATCTTTTCCTGCATATCAGTGCATTATGAACACAGCACCTCGGTATGTGTGTGTGTGCACGTTTGTCAGGAACTATTTTTRTCAATTTTACTGTAACCTCTTGGGCAGACAGGAAAGAAACAAAACATTTCCTGCAACGCTTCAAGGAACGCAAAGGTCTTCACTTCTATGCAATTCATAATGCAATTCAAGACAGTGTGCTGCACTTTTTAAATGGTCAAAGTAGCTTATATTTTATGGCAAATGATTTTCTGGAGAAGTTATGTCTGGTTCAGGGCCAGCCTGTGGCATGGGCAGTAAAGACAAATGCTGAGGGTGCTGTCCATCTAGGTGGCGCCACAAATAAATAAAAAAATATATAAAATTTATTAGAGTAGTTGATTTAGTTTGTAAAATAATCAGTGTTAGCTTAAGTTTGTGATGATGCTCAGTGCGTAACGTTTCAGTTATGATGTCAGATAAAGTTCAGGTTAAAGTTTGGTTAAAGTCTGGTGAGTACTGATTTTATGTTGTTTTATTAATCCCAAGAATGTAGTCAAATGCTTTTTAAATGGCTGTTTAAATTATACCTTTGGACCCCCCTAGAACTGCTTCACTCCACAGCTGCTTGTTAACATGAACAGGTGTTATTCATTGCTGCCGGCAGACATAGACTTCTGGTATTCTGTTTCAAATACAACTATATTGTCAACTGTTTTAATTGGATGACCTGGTTTCTAAAGAAAAAAGTTAAAGACAAAACTTTAATTTGTTACATGAAAGGATGTAAATTGGCAGCGAGATTTAGAAAAGTGCACAATCTGTGCCACATAGTGACGGCCCTGACCTGGTTACTGTTTTACCGATAGCTTCTTTAAGAACTTACTTCCGACTGGACTGACCAGCTAACGGCTTTAACATTGTTGCTTACATACAATTGTAAGCAATGAACTGTATAAAAAATACCCATCTCTTCCTATAAAGCCCCATGCTCATGTCTCACTGATGTGTAGTCACTCCCTGCTTGTCTTGTGTGTTGCACCCAGGTAGAACTAGTTCTCACCAGGATCTGTCAAGCATTGTGTGATTGGTCAGGACTTTGTGGGTGTGTTTGTTTACGTAAAGCAGCTGGTGTGAGCTGATCTCTGAACAGTGCCTGCATCTGCCAACATCACAAACTGTTCCAGTAAAAATGATACAGAAAGATAAATAAATATAAACAGGACATAAACATGTTAATACTTTGACTATGTTTTATACCAATGATTTTCTTTCCATCTCTAACACCAAGTAAAGCTTAGGTGAATACTTATTTGTTACTGACACTTAGTGCAAATACACCTAATGTGTCTGGTAAATAAAAAAGTAGTGTTTTTCAAATTACAGCTTTGTTAAAAACACAAGACATCAAAGTCCTTTCCTTATTCCTTCAAAACATAGAGGTATTTTGATGTAGCTTTCTCATTTACAATAAAGCCAAGCTACTACTGTTTTTTTTTTCAGGAACTACCATAAAATGAAAAACTGCATCTTAATTTATTTTACATGAACATGTTAACATGAAAATACTGAACATTTAATAACATCTACAGACTGACAAACTGAGCACTACCCAGTTGGAAGAAAAAGTAGTTCCCAGCAACTGCACGTGATTTAGACAGAATTTTAATAGTTTTATTATTTTCCACTGTGTTCCTGTTACTAATATATATTATCAGAAATGACTGACATATCAAAGTATTGATGTTTTGATTTTAAAGCACAAAGTTTTGTTATATGAAGTATCAATGTTTCAGTATCAATCACATAAAACATGCACGTTAGGTTTCCGTTTGTCCTAAACCTCCCTTACAAATGAGATCTGTGATCTCAATGCGATTTGTCTGCTTGAATAAAATTTAACATATAATGTTAAAAGTAACATCTTCCTAAAATAATCACCTACCGGTAAGTCATTTTATTCTAGTTTTTCAAAAAACACAAAAAACAATCAAAAGTTACCAGATAACTTAAAACAAAGGACTCAGACAAATGTTTAGGAAGGTGTTGAAATGTCGAATTGAACATATGTTGGATGAAAAATAGAACAAAGTATTTGCAGCAAATACATCAGGTTTTTGAGGCTGCATTACAAAATTCTCTAATAACATTTTACTAGATATAAGAAGAGCTAAACATCAGAAAATATTTCAGCTTCAACATTTTGTACAGTAAAAACTGGGTTTCCTTTTATTCACTCCGCTTAACTCTTTATTGACAGTATTTTGTGTCCCCAGTTGTCTCCATGGCTCTCCTGTTCTGTGGCTTGTTGGTGCTGCTGAGTGGGGTTGATCCTGCTCAGACCTTACTCATCACTGACATGGAGTACGGAGGCGTTCCTCTGTGGGTTGACCGCCTGCAGGGTGAGCCCAGTGTGCTCAGTCTGCACGGACGAATGGACCCCAGCTGGTTCCGGGCCAACAACCCCCAGTCCTGCCCGGAGGAGTGTGTCTGTCCCATCCAGTGGCCCACGTCGCTCTACTGTGACCACAGAGGTCTGAAAAACATCCCTGAAATGATGCCAAATGAAACCCAGTACTTGTTTTTACAGGTAGAAACAAACATCTACCAATGATTTATAATGGGCTTTTTATTGGTTTAAATTCTTGTTTCCTTCTTCCTTTTTTATGTTCAGTGAAGACTAGAAAAAAATGTTAAAAGAATCTTCTGCTGTTTTCAGGGTAACAACATCTCGTCACTGTCCTCTTCCATCCTGGCCAACATCACCGGTCTACGCTGGCTCATCATAGACAGAAACCAGCTGCAGAGCGACATGCTGGAGCAGGCCTCCCTGCAGAACCAGACCCAGCTGTGGTACTTCTTTGCCAATCACAACCAGCTGACCTCGGTGCCCAGCGCTCTGCCAGCTGGGCTCAGACAGCTGCGACTGGCCTACAACCGCATCAGCAGCATCAGCCCGGACGCTTTCCAGAACCTGAACGATCTGACGCTGCTTCTGCTGCAGGGAAACAAACTGCAGATCATCGCAGAGGGCGACCTTAAAGGTGCCATGTTGTTTCTTCTATTATCCTTTAGACCTAGAATATCTATGGACAGAGAGACAATCCAAAGTGCTCCCAGATAAAGTTTGCATTTTGTCAATTTTCTTCTAATTAATGATAAATCTCAATGTTAGAATAAATAAACACAAAAGAGCACTTAATAGGAAAAATATTTAATCACTTTAACAGTCCTTGATGGTCTAATTTTGACAGTAAATTTGAGGCTGTTTGAAAATGTTATATRGAAATCTTTTGGCTCATGGTGGCAGACATTCAGACTCTGATGAATTAAATATGTTTTACAGTAACTTTTTACCAAAAAGAATGTCCTGTAAAACATTCTTATGATAAAGATGACTCACAAAAAGAGAAACGATAAAAGAAATCTGATTTATTCAGGAAAATTAGACCATTTTGTTGTTACAAGTGCGCATGCGCCTAGTGGAGCCTAAATATTCTGGGTCACAGGTAAACTAAGGTAACGCTGAGGTTGCTGTGAAAAGAAATCATTGGAATAGTTCAAATTCAACAAGCTCAAAAAGCAGATTTCAAGCTTAGATATTGATGAAAAATCTTATCTATGATCTGAAAAGGAAAGTTTAGCACAAATCAGATGAGAAAAAATGTTCCAGGTTTGTATAACAGCATAAATTTATCAGCTGAATTTGTTCAATTCCAATGGTGATCTATGGCAACCTCAGTGTTTCCACAAAAACAAAAATGTGAGCTCTGCCCTTCACTCTTGCACATTTATAACTATTTGTAACTACAAAATGGTATATTCATAATACATTTCTTAAACAATATAATGTGCTTTTTAAAAGTCAAGTTATGAAATCTATACTGGCTTTAATGTCAGCTTTATTAAAATTTTCAGAAATAGTAGAGCTTAACTGTCTTTTGTGGAGATTCATTTGACTCTACGGCAGGTCACAGGTTCAACAGAGTACAGGAGTCTGACAAGGTTATGGCAAAGAAAAATACAAAGCAGGAAGTATGAATGTTGCCCAGTGGTCTGTGATACATTGCAGATTTGGACACATGAGCCAATCGGCTTCAAGGAAGAGTTCATGATCGAAGTGTGCACAAATCCTATGGATTCCTGATATCTTACAGAAGACAGTTGAGAACTCAGATTACAATCAAACATCATGTTACTATTTCAGTGAATTTAGTGCGTATATTGTAATCTATTACAATGAGTATAAATATCTGATAATAAAAAAAACATTTAGTAGTTTTTAATCATCCCTCATCAGAAATGAAGACATTTTTCCTCAACACTGAATCTGACAATGACCATTTGCATGTCCGTAAAAACAATGTTTTCCTGTCTTCCTTCAGGTTTACTCAGTCTCAAACTGTTGGACCTCAGTGAYAATTTCTTCTCTGCCGTCCCCAAACACTTACCTCCGTCGGTCCAGCAGCTGTACCTGTCCAACAACACTCTCTCTGGTCTGGACGAGGACAGTTTTGTGGCTCTGCTCAACCTGAAGTACCTGCGCCTCAGTCACTGTCACCTGCAGAGCCCCAGCCTTCATCCGCACGTCTTTAACTTGTCCAGCCTGGTGGAGCTGGACCTGGCGTATAACAAACTGACCTCGGTCCCCACAGTCCCCACCACTCTGCAGTATCTCTACATGGAGGCCAATTACATCCAAGGTGACGTATGAATTCAAGCTGCATGTACAAATGTTGATATTACATTTCTCAGAGGTGCTAACAGCCTAACATCAGTGAAAGATTTGTGCACACATGGTTTTATTAACAGAACRTATTGTGACTAATTATCTGATCACAGGATAGATTTGATGTGGAAAACATGACAGAGAACTGACGCTGTTTTAACCTGACAGTCCCTGATCTTGTGTGGAGTTTGAGTTGAGCAGCATGTGGGTGAGACAGAAAAACAGCAGCAATAGACGGATGAGAAATATCAGAATATCAGTGTGTGAAGAAAGCAAAGAAGCAGAGAGAGAGAGAGAGTGGTATGAAAACATCTGGGGCAGATTCAGAGGGAATAGTGCCAGATGTTCCCGAAGCACATGCTGTTCTTCCCTCCAGTCTCCAGTTCCATATTTTTTGTTTGTCTACATCATGACGTTAGCTTCTATCTCACTGCAGAGCCATTGTATCACCCTAATATCATGCTGAGTCACCATTTGGCACAAACCAGGACGCCATCATCAACAAGGATTTGGGAACCTTTGGTTCTTTTCAGTCTTTCCTACCACGCCACAAAAAATATGGGCGTTGTACTAATGAGACACACAGAAATGTAATAAATAAATAAACCAGMTGTACAAAAACACACCTCACTGTCTAGCCTTTAACGTAAGAGCTACTGCATTTCCTCCCTGCTACAGCCAAACGTGTGGGCTGAGAGGAAGCACTGAAATGTCTGAACAAATTGTCATCCTATTTACTTTCAGCACAGCACCTACACACTTCACCACAATGTTTTCAACAGATACTCTTCTTCTTACGTTTTTTTTGTTTGTTTTTTTTTTTTTTGCATTAAGAAGTTTCACTGAATAAATAGATGATGGGAAGCTGATGCTTTCTGGGCTGGACCAGGATCAAGCATGTCTTCACTTTGGACGGAGGACTCAAAATGTATTTTTTTAAATTCTCCACAGATTTCAACGTGACTAGTTTCTGCAGAGACATCGGACCGCTTTCCTATTCCAGGATACGGATCCTACGATTGGATGGAAACAGAATGACCTACCACCAGCTCCCCCCTGACTGGGTTTACTGTCTGCGAGTGCTTCAGAAAATTTACATTTGATTTTCCCTTCTTGATGGTTGTTAAAAACAAATATCTCTTCAAAACTACAAAGTAGTTCTTTGTAGATTTAAACATCTAAACATCACATCTAAACATGACTGAACCTTTTTTTACTTGTCCAACTCATCATTTGTATGGGACGCCAAGTATAAAATAAAATGTTAAAAAATGTCACTAACACATTTTCATTATTAATCTCACTTTTTGACTGTAAACTCCTAGTTTAAAAATGTCCACTAACATTTTATTGTTATTTAGCTCGCTGTTCTTACATTTTGAAAATTTTTACAAAATGTTCACTTTAAATGTTTTATGTGAATGTTCAAAACAAATCTAAATGTCTAAATCTAAATGTAAAAATTAAATCTTAAATGTGGTTAAATGATGAAATTTACATTTAAGTGTTTTGAAATGAAACATAGCCTTTGCTGTTGGTTCATGGCTTTTGTTATGAGGTCATCATCCTGAAACAAAAGCTAATGCTGCTAATGCTGTTAGCGCTGCTGAAGATGGTATTTAAAATTCTAATTCATAATGTACAGACATTGAAATCTGCAAGTTTGATGTCTTGTAGGGGAAGCGTTAGCAGAGTTAGCGGAGTTAGCAGTATTAGCGGTTGCTTTTGTCGTTTTTGCTGTGATGACATCACAACAACTGTGCACCAATGGCAAACGTCGTGTTTTGTTCCGAAATTCTTAAATGCAAACTCCAGCATTTACCCACAACATTTAAGATTTAAATTTTACATTTAGGATTTAACATTTAGACATAACATTTAAATTCAACATTTGGTAAAAATTAGTAAAATTTAAGAACAGTGAGCCAAATAATAATAATCTGCCTCATCTGGCCTGAACATCTGGGGTTTATTACTGAACAGGAAGAGTGGCAAACTTTCTACTCTGACTAGACTTAATTGTGTGTTCTGAGCCAAAGAGTGTGATCAGTCTGATTCTGCAGCTTTCCCATCACTATAAATTGTGTGGTTGATCTGAGTTTAACTAACCACATATAAATACAAAGGAAAATATTTTATGAGATCCTATTTTTAATAAAAAACTAATGTCTTGAACATTGACTGAAGCCAATAAAGAGTTTGTTCGTATCTACTGCAGGCACTCAGTGTTCTGCATGAGTTTGTTGTGTTTAATAATAAAATGTAAAATTGAAGTGAGATTTAAAGAGAAAGCAGCCACTGTGGAGTACAAGCCTTTTGAACTGAGGCTTCTTCAGCAACACAAGGCTGCTTTTCAGCAGTGAGCTCCTGTAACAGATTTTTAAAGCCAACCTGAGCTACTTTCTTCAGAAAAGATTGAACTGTATCTACCCCCGAGGGAAGGATCTGGTTGTCTGCTGTGTGCGCGCTGTGGTGCAGTCAGGCTGTTGCACACATGTGCATTCCTACCTTTGTGAAGGCACACCATTAATAAAATGCATGCCTTTCTGTCCAGCTCTGTTCAGAAAATACGATTGCCACTTGAGCAAACTCTCATGATCCAGGAGTTAAAGTAAACAACACTTGGCTATAGCCGTTAATATTAAGTCATAAATGACTGTATTCAAAGCACATCTGTGTGGGTGTTTCTGGTGTCGCCACGTGCCATAATTACCAAGTCCACTATCATATTTTCCAGGTGACAGCGTGTCCTAAACCGAGTGTGATTGTGTCTCAGGGACTGATCAGAGTTGGGTTTTTTTTTGTCTGAATCCTGTTTTACCAGAAGGGAAGAGGCTCACACAGGAGTTACTTTAAGGAACAAATGTTTTTCCAAAATAGGTGTGTATAAAGCTGTTCCAGTGATCAGTCAATAGTCCACTGTGTGTGTATGAAGTCATGGAGGAGTTCATGGAAAATGGTCACTTGGTTCTTGCTGCTGCTTGGTTTCTATAAACACGGCTGAAGCTAAATAAAATACCAGCAGTTTATAAAAATAAATGTACAAATTAGCTCTTTTTTTGGGTGAAACGTTTATGAAGCAGGACTATCCCAAAAAGGTAAATGAGTTTGCTACAGAGGAACACTGATAAAGGCCACTTTTCATCAAGTTTTAAACTAAAATCATCTAATTAAAAACGACAGAGTTATGGTCATTTTGGACAAACTTTGTACATGACATTAAGCTTTATCTAAATCAGGTTTTACAAAACTGCAATTTTGCTCAGCTAATCCCACAAAAAATTTTACCTTATTATTTTTTCATTTGACTAAATTAAAGCCATTTATGTGTTGACTAAAGTAATTAGGTGTAGCTGCCTAACTGAGATGAAAGGCTGTGGTTGTACATCTGATCATCAATTTCTGAGAATTTTTTTAAAATACAGTTAAAATACAGAAATCTTGCGAGGAGCACCTGGTCGTGGTCGGTTTATGGTGAAATGATGTTCTTTCCACTTCTGAATTATGGCCCCAACAGTGCTCACTGGAACCTTCAGAAGTTTAGACATTCTTCTGTAACCGATGCCATCATTATGCTTTGTAACAATAAGGTTGTGAAGGTCTTGAGAGAGCTCTTTACTTTTACCCATCATCAGATGGTTCTTGTGTGATACCTGGCCATCATTTGGGACTGAACCAGCTGATATTAACTTGCACTGACAAGGGGCAGGCTTGCTTTCTAATTACTGAGAGAGTTCAGCTGGTGTCTTGGCTTTCCATGCCTTTTTACACCTCCCTTTCTTCATGTGTTCAATACTTTTTCCCTGTGCCATTCCACATTATTACAAATACTGTAACTTCATTTCTGGACATTTATGGTTTGATTTCTTTGTATGTATGGATCATTTGGGTTGTTACCGACATCTGGTGAACATTTCATGTCATTAGCACCTCTAGTAATATATTTACTGAGAAAAATGGTGACGTGTTCAATACTTATTTTACCCACTGTATATTACACATTTTATTGTTAGTGAATTGAAAAAAAAGAAGAACTCACCAGTAGAGATGTTTTTCAGTGTCCTTGGGATTGTTTTTGCAGACATTTTATACCAAAATATCACTGACTGGTGGAACCATTAAAGTCTTGGCCAGTCCTTCTCTCTGAACTCAAGTATCAGAAACCAGTCATAGCAGGTATACAGAGAGCAGTGGAGCACTCACATATCACAACCTCCTGCCCACTGACACAAACTCTCCAAAATCATTAAATTCTCCTCCAGGTAAAATACGAACTGATCCAAGCACAAAATTCTTATTACAGTGGAACGTTTGTAATTCCTTCTTTTTATATTTACTGCTGTAAATCATCAGTTTTAGCCCTGTTAATATTACCAGATGGTACATCTCTGCTTCTGAAGACTACTGGATTTAAACCTAAGGAGAAAAAACATGAATGTTGGCAGAGACTCAGAGGTCTGGCACCACACAGAGGAAGAACTGACTCTCCATGGATTCAGAAAACTGTCCCTGMAAACAGGGACAATGCACAGCTGGACAGATCCTTAAAAAAGTCTGCTTTTTTTTCCTATGTTATGTTCTCACTTTAGCGCAGGAACATAAAACCCAATCATGCATTAAAAACAGGAAGTCATTAGTCAYGAGTCGTTCCCGTTTTTGCCTCAGGTAAAAATTCCAATCAAGTCTCATTGAAAAAACAAGAAGTCACAAAGTATAATCTACTGTCTGGGCACAAAAAATTATACAGGAATCAATGCATTAATTTTTGTGAAACTTTCAAATGTCAAACCTATAAGCACTGGACATAATGACATATCTGTGCTTACCAACCTATTTTCCTCAAAGCCCCCCTTCCTGGGTTTGCCCAGGTTGGGAACCACTGATGTACATGACTGACATGCAGATGCCAACAGTAAGTAAACGGAACAGTGTCTAAAAAACTTGGAATTAATGTTGTACATTTAGGGAAAATCACAGCTGAATCGTGTCACAGCTGCAGGTTGGAAAATCAGTGGTATCACTGTGCTGCTTAGTGACCAGGCTTTAATACTATTAGCAACACATTTACTTTCTCTAACTTTTTTAGTATTCGAATTGAAGCATGTATCATATATTCAAATAAAAGTTGAACATGTGTGTGATGCATTTAACAATTAACAGAAATACAATGTTTATTATTGCTGCTATTAACACATACTGGAGTTAGAGGTTGGGAAGAGTCAAGAATCTGTCAAATTAATATTTGCTAGATTATTTCTTTGTTGTAACAATGCCTCTTGGTAATAAATCTTACACGGTTGGAAAGTCTGCTAATTTACCTTTTAAATGGTGCCACATTTGTAAGGAACATGCATTTGTGGGATGAGCAGTAGAGTTGAGTATGTGGGTCATGCACATGAAAAATGTGCATAATTTTCTCTGTCAAACAGCTTATTTTGCCATTTCTATTGACTCTTGATTTGAGCTTCTGGTTCCCCCAGGTGCTGCCAATCAGCTGACCAACATAAGACTTATTACCAAGAAGAACTGTTACAACAAACAAATAATCTACCAAATACAAACTTCCTTACTGTTTGTTTGTTTCTTTCTTTATTTATTTCTTTATTTTAGTTTGAAGCTTTGAATCTCCAACTTTTAAGAGCAAGTGAATGAGGATAAATACGTTGGCCATCTGGAGACTAACGAGGGCAGGTGTGATGATTAGTGATTGAAATCAGGTGTGCAAGAGAGCAAAAAAGTTCAAGAAATAAAACATGACTAAACCATTATACTAACTAAACTCAAATTTAAGTGTTGAAAAAGGACAAAGTGTTTTTTATTTATTGAACTTTAATAAAAGGTATTTGGTTGCATCTTCAGTTGAATCAAGTGAGAACTGAGTGGAAATAAAAAAGAAAGCAACAAAGATGGCAGATTCACACTAAAARTCAAAGCAGGTTGTTAGTAGAGTATCAACGAGATCAAAATACTTTCCAAGGACGCAGGTTTGCAGGACCCAAACCAACGAATGGACCTGCTTTGTGATGGTGGGACTGAGACAGCAGGGAGCATAACTGAAGGTACTGCATCACCTGGTCTAACGTCATGCAGGAGGTCCGTCATCAAAAGTCTGGTATGACCCAGCTCTCTGCACGTCTGGGTGATGAGATGATCTTTTGATAGCTACATACAAAATAACCAACGTACCGCTCATCCCAACTCACACCCACAGTTTTAAGATAAGTGATTTATCATTAAAGATCTGCACGTCTGGAAATAGTTGAAAACGTTTAAATTGGTGGAGGTGTCAAACAAATCCTTCTCCTCTTAGAGATTTCTGTTCAGCTGAGAATCTGTTGTCAGCTTCAGCTTCAGCAGTAACGAAAG